GAGAGCCGTCGTCTTGATAATGGGTGCATCATCCTCTCTTTTTCGGGTGTTCAGACGGGCTAGACAATTCCAGGTCAATCCCTTTCGAATTTTTCTACTCTGCTGTCAAGCCCTCATCGTTTTTCCCCCTCTGCATGGGCATCCAGCTGTCGTGTGTCTCAATTGTTAGGCACTGATACAACCTCATTCCTGAAATCTTTTTTGCCAACCAAGACACCGCCCTGTCCTGCAGCAGCGTGCGTGCAGTCTTAGCTGCGCTCCCCCCACCAGGCCAGGTGTTAGAGGGGAGAGAAAAAAAAAGTACGGACGCGCTCCGCCGCCAACACCTCCCGTCCAGCACACTACTCCACGTTGCGCTGACTGAACTGGCGAGCGGCTGGATGGGACTGGCGCCTAACGTCTTACCTCACGTTGACACCGACCTGACCTTGCCTTTAGGTCGCCTTACCTAAGGTCCCTTGGGTCAACACACATTTCGTCACCTCTCCGCCAAAAGAAGCGGACCTCCCATTCAGAGCTTTCGCAAAGTCCGCCGAGACCAAGACAATCCCATCCTTGCGCCGAAACTGATGACCGCCTTATCGCAACAAGGCCCCTTTGCCCGCCCGAACTTCGAACGATTGTCCTGCCGTTTCTGCCTCACAATACACTTCCTTTGCGAAAGACCGTCCCAGGCTCCCAGCGATTGACTCAGGCTCTGGCCTGCCTGCCTTTGACGACCGTGACACACCTTAAACCAACCCACCGCCGTCGTCATATATAGCGCCTGTGCGGTGCACCTCTGCCACGAGCTCCTGGAAACCCAGCGCGCCTGCCCGACCAGACCACGACGACAACAACGCCGCTCTTCCTTCGTTTCCCGCCAGAGCCGGCCTTGCGCATGCGACAAGCGCCCTTCCGCCTCTGCTGCACGATCCCGACCGATCCATCCGTCCTTGGTCCTGCAATCCAATAGCCTTCAGGAGAGGAAGGTTTGCTTCCACAACTCGACAAGGCTGTCAGGCAACCTGCACCCCGAAATCTACAATACGATCAACAACCGCGGCCCGCGACAAAAAAAAACATCAAACAAGTTCCCGCTGTTGAGAAGGTCCCCGCAGCCGCCACTGTCCTCAACCCCCGAAGCTCTGCATATCACGGCGACTTGGTCCTTTTCTCGACGGCCCTCGCTCGCATCTTTGCGATACTTACATGTACATACCCATGTCCTCGAACCCCCGAAAGAGACCAGCCCCAGGAACATCACCAGCACCTGCCATGCCGATGCCAGCAGTTCAGCAGTCTTTTCCCAGCCCGACGGGCGATCAGTTTTTGCGATGGGGAGGAGCAGACGGGACCGCCCTTGTCGACGGAACCGCACCCCCAGCCGTGAATTCGTATGGCATTGTCCCCGGCCAACAACAGCAATTCGTGCAGCCCACGCCGAGCCCCAACAATGCTCTTGCACGAAGACAGATGAACAGAGCGCTTGTGCCCACCGCTGCCAGGCCAAATTTCGATTCTGCCGCCGACCCTTGGTTCGTTGGTGACGACAACGCCCTTCTGCAACAGCAGCAGCAACAACCAAACGGCAACATGACTGCCACCGATAACATCGAGGCGCTGGAGGAGATGGCTCGCAAGGCCATGAGAGAGGCGCAGCAGAAGAGGAAGCAAATTCCGCCCTTCGTCCAGAAGCTCAGCAGGTCAGAGATTTCCGTGCCCCTCCCAAGCGATGCGATCAGCACGCTGAGTGTGGGGATTTTTTATTGTGTGACGTACTGACATTTGCGTAGCTTTTTGGACGACGACAAGAACTCCGACCTGATTCGATGGTCCGAGAAGGGTGATTCGTTCATCGTTCTCGACGAGGACGAGTTCGCGAAGAAGCTCATTCCCGATCTGTTCAAGCACAACAACTACGCCTCATTTGTGCGACAACTCAACATGTACGGCTTTCACAAGCGCGTCGGCTTGTCGGACAACTCCATGCGCGCGAGCGAGCGGAAGAACAAGAGCCCCAGCGAGTACTCGAACCCGTTCTTCCGTCGCGGCCACCCGAATCTTCTGTGGCTCATCAACAAGCCCAAGAGCGGCAACAAGGGCAAGAAAGGCGCCAAGAATGTAGAGATCGAGGGCGACAGCGAGGAGGATGTTGTTATTGATGACGGGGTCACGCAAGGACTCGGCGCCACCAGCGCTCCGTCTAGCAGAGCCCTCCCGCCCGCGGGGGACATGCCCATCCAGAAGAAGGAGATGGCCCTCATTCGCGAAGAGTTGGCCAAGCTGCGGGATCAGCAAAGGTTGATTATGTCGGCCATCCAGCGGATCCAGCAAGATAACTCGGCACTATACAATCAGGCCGTCGTCTTCCAGAGCCAGCACGATCGTCACCAAAATTCTATCAACGCCATCCTCAACTTCCTGGCCAACGTCTTTAGGAAGACGCTCGAAGATCAGGCAGGCGCTCAAAGCGTGAACGACTTGCTGGCGAGCATCATCCCCAATGCCAACAACAACAGCTCTGTGCCTCAGGGCAGTGTGGTGGACCTTGGAGACTACATCCAGTCGCAGTCTGCGGCGAATAACAACATGAACCTCGCGAAGCGCAGACAAGCGCTTCTGCCGCCAATTCCAAACGGCCGTGCCAACACAGTTTCTCCATCCCCAGCATCTAGCGCGCCCACGCCCCAGCCGTACAACAACCGTGAGATGGGCACAGTAACAGAGCTCTTCGACACGTCACCTGGAGACCATGTATCTTCCCCCAGCAACTACCTGGCTCAGGAGCTTGAGACCAACCCCCACGAGAGCATGATGAAGATCATCAACAACACCAACGCAAACCATGCAAACCAATCGTCCAACATTGACCTGCCCGAGGTCGTGAATAACACCCCTGTCACCATGAGCAATGACCAGCGCACCAAGATGCTCAACATCATGGCTGGCCGTTCCGCAACGCCCACCAGCAACACGCCAACAACAAGGCCCTCCGTCTCCGCTTCTCCCAGACCGCCGGCTCCATCTGTCAGCGCTACCACCGACGCCCCTTCCATGCCCGCCACATCAGGTCTTTCACTCTCGCCCATCATGGGTTCAGCCGAACCTCCGCCTTCCCTGCAGCATATCCAATACAACCAAGCCGACTTGGCCGCTCTTCAGCGGATGCAAGAAGAGCAAGCTGCCAAGCTGGACCACCTTTCAAGCATGCTGGGCCCCCTGAGCCCCTCCGGTCGGATTCCTGGCATTGACGAGAACGGCAACATCAATCACCAGAACGGCTACTTTGGGTCTGACCTTGACATTGACCAGTTCCTCAACCAAGATGCTTTCCAAGGTGATGATGCCTTCCAAGGGGGCGTCTTCCAGGGAGATGGAACCGACTTCAACTTTTCCCTGGACGCTGCTACGCCCAACGGCGGTGTTGCCGCTGTCAATGCAGCCAACACTCCTAGTGAGAGCAGTGGAACGGAAGAAATCGCACGCGACGGCTTTGACCCGTACACTGGCAGTCCTGATCGTGGCACTAAAAGGCGGCGCGTCGGCTGAACGGCGAAGAGGCCAGGTTACCGGGGCCACGATTACCCATTGGCTTCAATTTATGACTTTCTTTCAAACAACACACCGGGAGCGGCTTGCTTTAATGACACAAAACGGCGGGAGGTCTCTTCTTTGCAGATTTTCAGGGAGGCGTGGTTCGATTGCTCTGGAGATCATGATATCCCAAATTGTGCTTTTTTTTTTCTTCTTCTCTCTTGGTTGGGGGAGTGAAGACGACCGACTGGATGGAATGGGTTCTTTGCATCAAAGAGGTATGCGATGGAATTGCGTTCGCTCGGGAGCGTTTGCCAGCGTTGTGGAGGAATGGCTCCTCTTCTCAATATCAATATGAAACTTTCGTGGGGGCGACAAGCGGGTTTCAAATCACACTGGATGTTAGACTAGACCGCCTTTTCAAAGAGCTTGAATGCTAGTCTTGATGAACACGTCTCGATGCCATGAGCTGATGCTGTTTGTGTGATTGTTGGTTGTTGATGCTAGTGGCCTTGTTTATCTACACCTCACTGACTGGACCGTTTCGGATGCCATCCACTTCTTGGTGGTCCCAGGAGATAAGTCTTCAAAGCGTTTTCTCACGAAAGGTAGTTTGTATTCGGGTATTCACTTGATCTATTTCATTGCCATTTGTACGGCAATGACGCCGCGATAAAGATGCTCTAATCAGGGGACTATGACGCTCACAGATCTCGTCGAAGTTCCCTTCATCTACACCAACAAAGACTTTCGGAAAATCGCCTCTGCTACCCATAAAATTCGCCCAATTGTCCAAGCCGCCGCGGGCATGTACTGCCTGAGAATCAGCCTGCCCGCCCTCCCCGGAACCGCGCACCGCCAACTCTTTTCTCCGCTCTTCCGCTCGCGCGAGGAGTTTTTCAGGAGGACCCTGACGGAACACGACCTGCGTACGTGGATCCCCGTGTCCGTACCCAGGCAGTTCCGCGAGTGGTACCATCTCCGAGCTTTGGGGCCGTGGAGTGGGCGAGGGCGGCCGGCTAGCTTGAAGGGGTTGCGGCGCCAAAGGAGGTGGTGACGCCTGCGGCCGTGGTGCTGCTGAGACGCAAAGTCGCGAGGCCGTTTTGGAGCGCGTTGCACGGGGTGCAGATCGGGCACGAGGAGAGAATGAGGCTGTTGGCTAGTCGAGGCTGGAACGACGAATATGGACCTTGGATGGGTACGGGAGAAAGCCGAGGGCTGAATAGGTGGTTGAGATGGAATTTGAGGGGGCTGCTGATAAGAAGGCTTTCATTTAGGACTGAGGGTGGACGAGCATTTGTTTTTTGATGACGGTAGGCCGTGCAAATGTTCTTAGAGTCTAGAATTTAATCTTGAGAACGTCAGCGGCGGCTCAGCCGGCAAGGGGGGCAATAGCGTACGGGTATCATCGCAGTAAAATCAGCAGTCCGAAGCTACCTCAAACGCAGCGTCCCTCTTCAGCACATAGCAATTCCAGGTCGTGGTCAACCAGCAAGCGGGTTCGCGTGGATGGTGACACTCTCGATCTTCACCGGCTCCTTGGGTCGGTTCTTCCTGTCCACCTCGACGGCCTCAATCTTGGCGAGCGTGACCGTGCTGTCGTCACCAATGAGCCTGCCGAACACGGTGTTCAGCCCGTCCAGATGCGGCGCCTTGTCGAAGAGGATGAAGAACTGAGAGCCGTTGGTGCTGGGGCCCTTGTTGGCCATGGAGACGATGCCGCGCGAGGAGTGCTTCAGGGCCGGGCGGATCTCGTCCTCGAAGGCGCCGCCCCAGATGGAGCGGCCGCCCTTGGGGTTCTCGGGGGTCGGCTCGGCGGGGCCGCCGGTCTGGGCCATGAACTTTGGGATGAGTCGGTGGAAGGGGGAGGAGTCGTAGTAGTGCGAGGCGCAGAGGGCGAGGAAGTTCTGGCGGAGGAGGGTTCTCTGTTAGGGACCTGCTTTTTCCTGGAAAGGCGGCCGGCGAGATGGGGGAGCTTACCTCTGCTGTTTTTGGCACACTTTCGCAAAAGATTTCAATCTTCAGGTCGCCGTGTGTTGTGTGTAGTGTGACAGACATTTTGACTGGAGGTTTTATGCGAGGGAAGGCGATCGTGAAGCGCGTTCGTGGTCGAGGTGTTGAGTGTGGATGGGAAAGTTGAGATCGAATTCGAAGGAGGCTTGGAGCTCCTGTTTGCGGGAGCGGTGCTATTGGACCGCTGTAGATCGGAGCGGGACCTGCTGTGGCGTCGGTGTAGTGGGCTCCGAGTGCCGATGCCAGCGGGTCTTTGCCCGGCGCAAGGAGCCTGGAGCACCGGGGGATTGCCGAGTCTTTAAAGATCGTTTATCGAGAGCAACCAACAACAATCGAGGATTCTGGCTAAAAATCAAGTAGCACAACTGTCTGCCACATCTTGTTTGCGATTACCCGCTGTCTCTCATCGCAGTTGCAATTTTCTACTCTACCAGCACTCAGATGCTATTTGTGAGCCTGTCGTGAGGAACAAAGTTGACTTTGACAGCCGGCGCTGTCATTCAACCTTTTTTCTACGCCCGGTCATTGACTTGGGAGAGGAATATGCCGAATTTGGGGTTCCTGAGGTTGTCCGCTCAGCTGTCAGATCAGTCAGATGATTGACGAAGATGTTCGTCACTCATGCCACACAACTGACCGATTTCCATGCACTGAGATTCACGACGTTTAAGATGTGGAGATGTTTGCGCACATGATTTTAATCAAATATTCAGTAGTATCTTCGCAGTTTCTATGAGCAACTGAGAAGCTGATTGAAAGGGCCTCGTTAGCTATGGAAGTTGGAAACAAAAACACCAACCTTGAAGTGCAAAACCCTTCTGAAAACCAATACCAGCTTCCAAGTCAAGATTAGTTGAGACCTTTTTTTCGTAAAGAGCATATAAGCAATTTCTAGATTTTTGACTATTCAGTATTGAATACCCCGCAGCTCGGATCTCTGAGCCTGCGGCACAGGCCGTGGGCAGCTTGTGTTAAACAGAAACCTGCAAGATTTGAACGTCTATTACAAACCATCTCGTGACAGCGTTCAGACAAAACAATCCCCAGTGACGACAACGCCTTGGGGTTATTTCAACCTCATTCTTCCCCTGCATAAGCGCCGATATCGAAGCATCCAAGGCTCATATGTGAGGGGTCCACACATTCGATACGAATCTGAAAAAACCTACTACTTCTTGAAGCTGAGAGCCTTACAGCCACTCACCACGTTTTTGTTCAAGATTCAACTGCGCCTCTTTCTCCAATACCAAGAGAAGCGAGCCAATATTCTCCGTGCATACGAACCAGCGGCTCTCCAGCTGCAGCCGCCGGCCGTCGATCTCCAACCACCGTACGCCACACCTATGAGAATCACACCTCAGGGCTCAGTAACGTCACATCCCAAGCTGCGAGGCTTTATTATGCGGAACATTTCCCACGTGAGTCGTACAGCCCTACGATTATCGTCCTCGTGGATCGGAGCGGTTGGCGGACCGTCGATCTACCCAAGATTTTCGCAAGGGCTTACTTTTCATCCTTGTCTTTGCCCTCATTCGGTGATTCGGGGGAATTAAGATATATCGAATGACAAGACAAAATAATTCATAGCAAAGCCTACCGATGCTTCCCGGTCCATTTCTGTTTCCAGACCGCTCAAGTCAGGCTGCGGGAATTCCTGGTTCCAGGTTTGCCAAACGGCGCAGCGAAAGCCAGCAGATCACGGGTAGGCGCATATTGGGCTGTTTGGACCTGGATACCAACGAATTTCCACCGAACGCCCAGCTTTCTAAAACGCAAAGCATTTGCCCTTTTGGAAACATTCAAATCAGCTAAACTCGTTCCTTCAATCACTGCTGAGCATCTGGCCATGCTTCAGCTTTCATCCTGGTCTTGTCCCTCCAGCATCGTCACAGGTCGCATGGCTGGCCCAGGACATCACACCGCCGGTCGAAAATCGCTCAGCAATCCTCCCACGAGGGAGGGCACTCAATCGAGAGACATTCCATGCGAAGCCGATCTAGAGCCAGCAAAGCTGGAACAGGCCCAAATTGGCCGCCGGTGCTACCACGCTAACTCCAACCTAGAAATGCTCTCGCACGAGTCTTACAGTGTCTGTGGCCGTTCGCGTAAGGCCGAAAATCATTGGATCCAGCACTGTGATACCGTGGTCTGTGTTTCTTCATCCCCTCCAAGATCCCGACCCGTTCGTGGCACCTCAAAATCATTCGTCCACGCGGGGAGGCAATCCCGTATAAGCTTAGTGAGCAACGTTGACGGGCCAAGATTCCTAAAAGGTTTTGACCAAATGTCGTCGGGCAAAGAAAGGTCTGTTGAGTGAGCTTCCGACTGGTTGGAATTCGACTCTGTTTCTCCCGCCGTGCCTCCTGTTGAGTTCGTGCGAAGTAAGGCCGTTCGTGACACAGGAGCCTTGCGAGCGCAGGCCCATCCAGAAATTCTACAGGCTCTTGCAAGATCAATCTTGAAATGAGATGAGCAAGGCTCCTCGGGTGTATCTGAACAAAATGTCCAAAATCTTGGATATGGGTTCTTCACGATACGAGCTGGTGAAAGCTGAGGAGGAGGTGTTCCGGTTTCCCGAACCTACCTTTCTTCGAGTGGAGAACCAGACCGTGCGAAATCCTCAGCTTGGTAGGTTTCAGGACTCGAATTCCAGGAAAAGCAGGCATCCTTGGGTTTTCCTGCAAGCCAACGGGCATCTACATATCTGCTTGTTGCGGTGGGAATCTCACTTCCGTAGTCCCCTTTCCCTACGTCAAGATGCAAGCCCGCGCGGAACTCATCCCTTATGTGCATATCCTCACGGCCAGTCGGGTGCGTGCAGTTCTCTTGTTCCCAACCTTCTGAGAGCTGTGTGACTGGCGCGCCATACGAGGCCATTGCGACCCGCGGGCAGACACAGCAGTGTAGCCACCCCGTTCATGCTTGGATGGCCACCATCCCATTGTCCACCTTTTCAGGCAGCCAAGTCTTCCGTGGGAGGGACGGCCGGCTCGCGTTTGGCATCAGTATATAGCAACGGGGGCGGCGTTTGCAAGGACTCCCCACTGCTCATCAAGTTTTGCCCCCGAATGCTATCAATAGTGCCCGTCAAAAGTGAAAAAGCCTCCACCAACCCCCTCTCAGCTCACACCGACTCTTTCTCCACGATCCAGTCGCTGACTTTATGAAAGCTGCGTGTACACCGACTCAGCTTACAATATCTACATCGTCGCACTCACCTGAGGGATACGCCTAACCTGAAGTGTCTTGCTTCACAGCCGCCGGCGGCGTAGGCCGGCTCGCCCAGCGATGACGGCTTCGGAGGGAAGTGGCTGCTATCCTGCAGTCTGGGCAAGGGAATGGGGGAAAATAGCGTCCAATGTTCCAGATCCGCCTCAATGCATCGACAACTGCGGTCGAAAGTTCCTTGAGAAACTGGTACCGGGCTTCAGAGATTCAAAATGGACCGAGGCCTGCGGGATTCTCTCAAAGACTGAGAACACGAAGCAGCTGTGGGATCTTTATTGCTGCAACTCGTCGATTTGCGGGGTGTTCCCGTCCATGGGGCAGGATCGTGAGTAGAGCTTTCTGTCAATGACATCGGGCTATCGTCTGACAGCTTGTTAGCTGGTGTTAATTACATCGTCAATACCTGCCATAAGTGAGTTGCTCCGCCCCATCACCGTCAGTTGTGTTGTTGACCTTGGCCCATAGCAACGGCATTCGAACAGTTCAAGATCCGGGGCCGCCTCCTTTAGAATACGACTGCTCGGCCGTCATCAACTACGCAGAGTGTTCAAAGCCTTTCTTCCAGAGCGATTCAAGACCATCCACCTCAGAGGAGGGGTTTTGGGCCACAAGTGCCATAGTTGCGAAGCCCTCCTCAACGTCGGCAACGGCCATGGTATCAACATCTTCCAGTCACTCAGCACTAACATCTGGCGCATCAACTTCAAATCAATCGTATGGGAGACGACCTAGCGGCAGTCTTTCCCTAGGCTTAAAGATAGCTATTGGGATATCTTGTGGCATCGTCTTGATTGCGATCATAGCAATTGCGATATGCATCTGGCGACGCCGCTCCCGTCGTGGCTACACTCAGAGCATCAAGAGCGAAATCAAGCACCCCTCACTTCCTCAAGCCAGCTCACCCACGCCCCTAATATCTCCAGAAGACTCCATGCACGACGGTACACATCATACCACACTCACACCACCACCCCGACTGAAAGAACGGAATCTGCTCCCTTCATTGATCAGCACAACAACGTCAGAGGCGGGAGGCTCTTTCCCAGGAACTCCAGTCAGTTATCATGGCCCAGGCGGCTTTCCGCAGTCTCCTTTTGCCGATCCAGTGAGCGCCAGGCTCGCACAGAAAGGATACCGTTCATCGAAACCTCCCGTTTCTCCGCTATCGAGCAGCTTCCATGGAAAGTCTATCAAGACGGTGAGCATAGGCAGCGCAGCCAGCAACCGCACGACAACTACCGTCTCCAACATCTCCAGCGCGTTCCCTTACCCGTCACCATCACGACCTCCCCGTCCGCATGACACTCCTCTGCGCATACCAGACCTTGTATGTCCCGGTCCGCCTCCTACTCGAGCGCTTCCGCCGCCACCGCCGCCCGTAAGCCCAGTCAGTCCCGTCAGTCCCGTCAGTCCCGTCAGTCCCGTCAGTCCAGCTGCGCTATTCAGACAACAGTCAATAGACGCCGGGCAGAACGTAAGTCTGGCCCTCGCAGCCGGGTTCATACCGCCACGGAACCCCGCCAGAGGCGTCGTCTTGGGGAAGGATTCGAAGGACTTTTGTGACCTGACAGAACGATGTGCGAGAGAGTCCAGAGACCGGGACAGCTGGGGGAGTTGGAGTTTCGGCGGCGGTGTTACGAGTATTGGCACGAGCTCGTTCCAAAGAGGAGGAGCGGCGAGGGTGAATAGTCCTGTGTTAGAAGAAGCCGACCTCGAAAGAATGGGCGGAAAATATTGAGCGGTTTCATTTGTTCTGTTTGTATGATAGAAAAGGAGGATACGAATTGTCTTTACTTGCGTTGTTGGAATATGAATAT